ACAGTTTCCATTGCTACCATTTGAATTTTTTTGGGGTAGAAAGTTCCGTGGAAAAGCTGGCTGAATTCCACGGGTAAACACTGAGCTGAATGGCTATTCATCCCGAGCAATATATCTGTTAAATTTTGAGAAGGGTTGGTCAAACATAATCATCCCTACAATTTAACATAATGGAGTTAAAAAGGGTAAGGCGTCTGTTGTTTTTACATAACCTGTATTAGTAGTTTCATATTGGCGTGTGAATGATACTAAGAGCGATACCATAGTGGGTGCGAGGTCGCGATACTTTTATTAAGTGCGTAGACGTAAAGACGAAGATACACGCAACGATTTAACCCCACACTTTATCAAATCTACTTCCAAGTATTCCTGTCACAGTACTACTATGTTACCCGCCCAGAGGAATCATATTCTAATAATATCAATGATCTATCGTAACAAAAGAGGCTAGGAGCACTGTACAAGGTGTGGCCTGGGCCAGAGAGGAGCCCAATGTGCTAGATCGTCTAACACTCAAGTAGTACAATAAAAACACACAGATATATACGACACTAGCTATGAGACTGAGACATTAATAAACTAGTGGGTAGGTACCATGGGGGTGATTACGAATATTAAATCATCTGGCTTACATGAAGCTAGACACTCAAAGATAAAGAGAATCTAGTAACTAGAATGAAAATTTCAATTTTGAGATCGGACCCAACGCCTTATATGGCGACGTCTGACATGAATCCTCATTACTAAAAATAAACTTATATATAAAATCAACAATTTTTCATTTTAATTGTGATATTCTTGTATATAAAAGTCACACATACAACTGGAAAGGTTTCTCTTAAGATTTAGTGATTATAATATTTGATTTAATTTCATTACCCTAGGTTGACGAATTTTGGTAACATGTAGACGGCTACAAACCCCGTCTACATATTCAAATGAGTAAAACCTTCTCTGTGAAGTGCCCGAACTTGACTGTTCTATTTCTTGGGTTTTGCTGTTTGTAGTCCAGGGTGCAGGCTTACACCAAGGTGCCATCTTTGTGGAGTCATCCCGCCTTTTCCAATAGCCTGTCTATTATAAAGAGATGTATCGTGACGAAGAGGAACGTATATCATGTCGTGAATTACTTGGACTCATATTAATAATTCATATTGTTGTCCTTCCTGAGTCTATGACTATGTTTGACATTCAGGTCCTCTCAACCTGCAGACCAAGGATACCTATACCAGTAGTATATCCCCTCCTATGCCTCCCATTTAGCTCCCCTCGAATAGTACCACCCCTCACAAGTCCTCATTCGATCGTACACGTAGAAGAACCCTTAACCCTTCATTATCTCCCCTCTCCAGCCAACGAAACGATGGCTATTTGCGGGCGTATGGCAGCCGAGAAAAATTGCAAAAAAACACTGGGTGCGGAGCTCTCCTAATACCGACATTAGAACTAGATACGAAGACGTAGTAATCCTTCTGAAGCTTTCGAAGGGGCCGGCCAGCTGGGCGCTGCAGACTTGTGGGTACCTCGGAAAATTCACCCTCTGCCTTTCTGGCCTACTTCCAACTACTTCCTGAAGGTCGTGCTGAAATGTCTAAAATGGCTTGATTAAGCGTAATTGCTGTATATTATCTTAGCGTAACTTCTTTTGTGCCGTCCAGGGCTCTAGGGAGAGCCGTTGACTCATCGACAAAGAAGCCCTCCTGGCTAATTAGCCGAAAGGTCAGTCTTGGCGCCCACAAAAAATCCAAAGTTGAAAACTCCCCGAAAATATCAGTCCCGGCATGGTCTTCAGAGACCTTAGTCCCCTCTCGCTCCACATCGCAGCCGCTTGTTCTCCCTCAAGTAGTTTGTCCCATTAGAGCAACAGCCCCTCATCATTCAGGACCCAGGCTTTGTATGTCATGACTTAATTTCCTCCTTGCGGGTATATGTAGCGTCATAAATCTGGAGTGAGTGGTGGCTGGAGATAAATGAGGCAAGCTCCTGTTTGCAATTGGGGTGACGCCTTTATCCGTCGTCGAGGCGAGATGATATGTGGTCAGAAAGAGGTTGAGGACTCAGAAGATAATGGTGAGTGCTGCATGATTGAGAAGTCATCAAATGGAGACATGCATGTGTTTGCTTTTGACTTTGACTCGGTTGCGATTCTTCTTGGCCATCCCAGATATGCAGAACATACTGAGCGGTTACACCGGCACCACTGGAAGGTGAAGAATTCGTCTTCGCCGGCGACCTCTCGCTTCGTGGGGTAAAGTAACCAGGCAAACAATATTCCTTGAAGGACACCAGGATGGTTGAACGATGTAATGGCCTTTTGTCTTTGTACTGCCACTTAATTCTAATGAGATTAGGTATTAGTTTGGAGAGCCACAAATATTATTACAAATGAGTCAACAGGCAGAAAAAGGATTACATATAGAAACACACCCTCAAATATCCACCGAAACCTTAGTAGGGCCCAAAGCAGTATTGCAGTTCAGATAAGAAGAGAGCACATTGGTCTCAATTCTTATCTGTATCGAAGGAAAGTCCCCGGAGTGATTAATCCAAAATGTCAGTGTGGATATCCAGCTCAAAATGTCAAACATATGGTCTTGGCGTGTCCTCAGTGGGCAATGGGAAGAGGAGAGGTGCTTCGAAAGGCAAAAGACAGGTCATTTGCGGCAATGAACAGCCCAGATGACATAGAGAGAATTACAAAATGGATCCTGACAAAAGGCTGGTTTGAACAATTCTGGCTTGCAGGAGAAGTAGAAATAGCATTGGACGAAAGGATGAGACGATGTGGACAAGGATATAACGGATTTCACACTGTATAAACAGTGTAATCGCACTTCCTGTAGGAAACCTCAGAAAAAAAAATAGATACGAGACAGACAGTTGTAGGGGGTTTTTACCGAATTTGGTTTCCTCCTGTGTAAATATTATAGCTAGTTATACCTGCATGGGCCAATAGGGTACCTGAACGGGCTAAGTGAAATCAAATCAAATCAAATTAGATATTACTCTATGGAATGTTGAAATAGGTGCTTCCAATTACAGCAAAGACAGGGATGTGTAGAATACACTTCAGGAAGCCCACATTAATTGTGAGGATTTTACTAATGCGCTAGGTTGGATGGTGTAGTGGTACACCATTCGGGCCGTTCCCCCAAGTATTAGAGTAGATTAGATTATTATTATAGTCCTAACTGAGTCTGTTGAGGTTCCTGATGGATTAGCATGTGTGAAAAGTGAGATAAGCTTAGCTTTATGATGTCGTAGGTTACGGGTGTCTTGTGGCTCCAAACTACCAATATTTATAGTAGAGCTGAAGACTAGCTATAACTTGATTTTCTATTAACACAGGGTATCGTCTATATAAATACAGCATTCCTTATCTTGCGCCCGGACTCCAATGTGAACAATGTAACATAAGCGTTACAATTTATTAGAGCCTCGTACTAATCCTTTGACCTGCCTCACTTGGATCATCACCATGATTATAGAGGACCCCTAGAATCTACATTAGATACTAGCTAAATTTTCATGTTCAAATTAGATTGTTTCTAACTTTACTCTCATTGGCAGTGAGGGACAAGCGTTATCCCAAGTAGATCCTGGGCGGCTTGAATACCTAAACCATTTGAGACAGAAAAAAGTTGGTTCGAATCCAGTAAAACCCACACATCACTATCTCTCGCGGTGATATAATATTTTTGGAATGATGATAGCACACTCGGATAACCATAGAGGTTTCACGCTTTTCCCTGTGGTGGGTATGCACAGAAGAGGTTGTACGCCGTAAGGGTTAACCTCGTGTAGTATCTGCAAATGAAATCTGAGGGTAGGTGTTCTAAACGGCAGATTGAGTCATCCTACTTAAAGTACATGTCTTCCGCTAAAATCTGTATGGGCCTCAAGGCGCCAAATCAGGACAATTGAATAACTTATTTATTTATTACATACATGCCGTGGGTACATCCGGGGATCACTCAAGATGGAGCCTGGAGCCTAGAACCTTTATTCACCCTTCAATTTTTGGTTTCTGCACAAAGTCAAAGATATTAAAGTCTACAAACTATCCCGCTATGCCATTAACCTCTTCCCAGAACTCAAATTTTTACTTCTCCTAAGACGCCTCACCTCGAGCTTCATCAGATCAAACTGAGTTCTAAAATACGAGGAAAACTTGTTTGAAAGTAGCACTTTATAAGTATACTCTCAGAGATAATTTTTGGTTGTTATTTTGTATTTTTTTCACATAATCTCGATGTATTCCGATATTAATTTTACTCAAGTTTAATTTTAAGTACCGTTTTTGGAAAATAGTGACAAAGTTTTCATGTGAGTCACCTGGGATCTTCATCCGTTGTCTTATTGTAGTCTGTTTATTTATAGATATCTAAATCTAAGACACCAAAGTCTTAATTTATCTTCGGACATTTCGACCGTAGTTGCATATAGTCTTGGAATTTTCATGAACACCATATTCCGTAACGGGAATATCTACTCCCTTTGTATAGCGAGTTTGATAGTAGTAGATTTGAAATAAGTACTTCTTTCAGTTAAGGCTTTCCTATCAAAGTTATTTTTACAGTGAAGCTAGCTCTTGAATATGTGATCTGATACGCTCAGTATTAATTTTTGATTAAAACTAAAAGCTCTATTTTTGGTCAGTGTTCTGCCATCAAGGTGTAATCCATTAACATACAATGCGAGATTTAACTTTCACGAATCAGACTGATTGAATTCAAGAATATGTATTTTGTCAACTTATTGAGACTGGTATCCTTAGTGACTGCATCTAGAAATATTTCTCATTTGTATAAGCCTGATACTATACTACGTGCCTTGCGCAAAACTCCCCCTCCCTCACTATCAAAATAACTCCTGTAATTTAATTTAGGTATCATGATTTGGCTCAACCAAAAATTCCGCACGTCATATTTGCAAATAATTCGTTCCAAAAGCAGCTTTACGAACTCAGTAGGTATTCATATAATCGCCTTATATTTCCGCTAGGGATCATTGTTCTTATTATAATTATCTCGTCGACCCTGATAGTCCCTATTGGAACAAATATCGGGTGATTCCAAGAGCTGTTTCAGGTTTATTTCTCGTACATCATTTGTGTTATGTCCGTATGGGTCTCTACTTTTCATAAATTTCTGTATCCTCTCTTCCTGAAAATGGTATCCAACAGATTCCTTCTTTGTCTGTGTCAATTCTTTTGAAATCCTATGGTGAAGAGCGTCTCGTTGCTCGAGGAAGTTAATGGAAAAGCTACCGGCGCGAGATGCTTGCCCCAGACCCCCTAAAAATGCAAAAACTAAGATTATTCCTACAAAAGCTGCATTTGAGACAAGATTTGGGTTTTGAGATCCATCTCGTGCGTGCCATCTCTCCCAATCCTCCCATGTTGCATTTTGATGAGGCCCGCTTGGCCCACCATTCCATCCTCCATCACTACTAGTCGAGTTCGGGCCGCTGTCCCAATTATCACGTTGGGGGGGTTCAATTTGCCCATTCCAGCCAGCTCCGTAGCGATCATAAGCGCTTCGTCGGATAGGATCAACAAGGATATTATTGGCAGCAATTACCAACCTATACCTCTCAAGTTTCGTTTCACGCGACAGGCCTCTGACCTTCGTATCCAAGCTATGTCGATCGGGATGGTATAGTTTTACTAGTTCGTAAAATCTTTGCTTTGAATAGGGCATATATTTTTTTTGGTTGAAGATTTCATATGGTGTAGGCAGTTTATTAGCTGATGTTGTTTCTGGCCAGTGAAGAGTATTTCGATCATGCTTGTTATGGTGAACAGAGCTGGTGGCATACAAGCGGTAATGTTGCTGTTGAGATTTTGTCTGTGGTGAAAGTAATGACGCCTTAGAATTCATTCCCCTGCTATGGAGAGGATGTCGGCTACAACCGCATGTTATTAGCAGTCCCGTCTGCTTCTTCCACATAATCGACATTGATTGGAGCTTCAGTTTGCTAGGTTTGAGAGTTGGATGGAAATGAGAGTCTACATGGCGCTCGGTATGAAGTAATCCTCTTAAGACCTGCTGCGTGAGCAAGTTGACGAAGGGTTTGGCTCTTCCCGATTAGGATTGGTGCACTATTATCGATAAGGGATCTGCGTACCAGCGCATCTGCATCCGTAAACTCGCTCAATCTTCCTCAAAACATACTCAGTTACCCCTCCTTCCCCCAGTTGTGATTGCTCAGCCGTATGACTTGAAACTCTCCTTGCCTGCGTCATGAAAACTCTCCAGGAAAGCCAGAAACGACTTGTAAGGAAAAGGTTCTCAGCCGAAAGCTGTCATCGCTCGTTGAACAATTCAAAGTATGATGAAAAAACCGGACAAGTTTACATTGAGACCCAAGTCTCATTTTGGGGTAGTAGTGACAAGGACTGGGAATATCGAACACACGCAATGCCCTATATGGACTCCTTGTCTACCACAGAGATACAAAAGGCCCCAAAAACTGGACTAAAAAAAGAAAAGCAGAAGGGCACTCGATCCCTGTGGTCAACAACCCTCGATGCAATTATTGCTAATGTCTCGGACCTGTCTCTACAGTCACTCGAGCTGATGCCACTCAAACTTGTAGAATTTCTTTGGAATACAATAGTACAAAAGTCAGTTCAACGATTTGATTTCCGAGCCCTAAAGTTTATCTTCGCTTCCAAGACTGACGCAGATCTAGATAGATCATGCTTGTGTCTACATGTTTGGTCAATCTTCTCCACTACACTTTTGCGACGAGATAGTTCAACCATAGGAATGCTTAGGTATCGCGAGACAATACCTACTCCTCAGTCCCCGTTACAAACATACACTCAAGCACTTATGTCAAAAAATTTTGATTTTATCACTGGGCTGACGATCACTGTACCGGTCCCAGTACCAGAGTTGATGAATCTAACCAAGCTAGTTAATCTTGTCGCACTTGAAATTTTACATCAGGGCGACCCTTGCCGATCTTTAATATCAGATCATCTTGTCAAAGCTTGGAGTATTTCTGCTTCTCAAGAGGCATCTTTCCCGATACTTCGAATAATCAAACTTTGGAATCACCGAGAGATAACCTCTAGGTCACTCGCATGTATTGACAATTTCCCAGCTCTAGCGATCTATGAAATCCGAGGTTGTGACTTTGACGATTACAGCGTCTTAGCGGGTACTGGCTGGACACTTCAAGAAAGTGTGGAGCCATACTTTGACTTGGAATGTGAACGCCCAAGAAAGCATGAATTTTTGCAAGCTTGTAAAGAGATAAGAGTAGGAAACACTATGTCCACGCATCGAGTTATGAGTTGGGACTATAAGCTCCATAAATTAATTGATCAAGTTGGAATCATTAGAAAAAATTTTGATCTTGAACGAGTCGGCGTCAAACCTAAAAACCGAGTTGTATATGTCAATGAAATAATGAGCCGGATGCCTTTAGCATGTATTCGGTTGGGCCCTTCAAATTCGCTGGCGCCCGAGCCGACGAAATTGTTCTTAAAAAAGCAAAATAGTATTCAAAAAGGATATATTAGACCCAAGTTTAGCGAGACGAAAAAGACGGATGCTTCGCAGCCAAAGGAGAGGCAGCGTACAACTCGAACGAGAAAGAAGAGAAAGCTTGATGAATTATTACACGAATTTTACTAAACCAACATAGAATCTTTTGTTCACGCATCGCTTAAAGTAGAGCCTCTCTCCAATACCTAAACAATCAAAGAGTCCTAACATCCGAATTTCTTGGGCACTTCAGTACAGGTTGCCTACCTATTTAGACAGGCTAAATATGTGTGCGACTAATACAAAGTAACATCATCTTGACATGCTAGAAAACTCTTGAACATTCGAGAAATCATATTTATACTGACCTAACAGTGTAAACTTCTTCCCCAACGATGAAAATATCTCCTGTCTTAGTAATCATTATTCGAATCTGTTACATAGAAGGCTACGTAAGCTGACAAGGGCCCAAAGTAGTCTAGCAATGCAAATTCAAGGCGAGCACACGGGACTCAACTCGTAATTAAATGGAAAAAAAGTATCATAAATCTACAGCACAAGCTTTCCTTGTGTTGACCAATCGCAGAACTCCAAAAACTTGATTATATCCCAGCTTCCATTGTCGAATGGTATAGGTTAGATTTTGGGACAAGCTAGGGATCGATCCTTAGAATCCATGATTGATAATCCATCCCCTACCAAAAGATTAACACATTAAATCCTCAATCATGGTTGGATATAGCGATTCAAGATGACAAAGGCGGTCGAAATACTGTTGAAAGAAATAAACAGTTCTAGCAGTTCTTTGGACCACTAGAGAGGATGTAGTTGGAATGTAAAGATGGCACTGTAGAGAAACTACAATTCCGGAATAACACATGTAAAAATCAAAGGAAATAAACAAATTTGTCTAGGGGTTTCCAACCAAAAGTTTTCTCTTGTAATTATTAAAGTCCATTGGAACCTGTATGGTCCCTTAGGGCGCCAAATCAGTTACCTAGTTCTCAAAATTAACATTTATATTTTTCGAGTCGAAGGAAGCTATTCATTTACGCCCTCATGGCTCCATGCGTACAATCACTGTAGGAGGAGGACAAGACTGAACACCTGTACGCGGTGTCTTCTACGAACCTCGGAGTGAAATATTCTCCCAGAGCCAAGTTCAGTCAAATTTCGCAATACCGAACAAGTTGGCCCACGAGGCAATGATTCAAATTACTCCACCACGTCAATTTTTCACTCCCAAAGAGTCCGAATCACACCTAAGCCTCATCAAGTCTACAAGTACGACCTAGTACATCCTCATTCCAATGACCACACCTCTTGTCGACCTTCTCTGGCCTCAGCTGGTCGCCAGATACACGCTCACGCCGATATTTATACCCGGCGGAGGAAACAAAGCGTGGTGCACAAATCTGGGAGACTGTTCTTCGGGATGGACGTGAGAGGGATAAGGACAAGTTTACAAGATGATACAAAGGAAGGATATAACTTCGAAGGGCGTGACATTCCGAACTTTGGCAAGAGTTTTACGAATTGAGCTTTGTGCGCGTCAAGATTTCGCTTGCGAGAGTGCAGCTGACACTGTACACACAAGCCAACGATGGAAGGTGCCGTGGTTCGCCTCCTGGTGGTGTTCTCTGGTATAGTTTGAGTAGCCTGAGCACCTACTCCGCTTGAGAAGGAGACATCTCAGATTACATTTCGCGCGGAGAAAAGTTGATGGATGACGGAGGCATGTCTGGATAACTCAGGGTTTTTGAGACGTTCCCCTGGATGGGTATTCACGGATGAGGAATGACTTGGGGTAAAAAAAAAGCCGGCACAACTTCGTGGTAGTACTTGCAAATGAAATCCGAGGCATGAGTGCTCCTCTTGTAAATTGAGTCATCTCTTCTGTAATTTTCGGGTGACTATTCTCAACACCTGTCAGTGGTGTCCCCTACAAACCTCCAGCTCTCACTGTAGATTCTGCAGAGCCAAGATTGAGTAACAAAGTCCTCACTTCGACGAGGATTCCCAATCCCTTTCGCGGTCTGTATCATCTTCATCTCTCAACACATCCCCCTATCATCATTATCATGAAGCTAACCACGATCAGATCAGATGGTAGGGTCGGAGCCCTACTCATCACTAACCCTTGATCATGGAGGAGATGCCATCCGATGAGTTTCCGGAGCGTTCCCAGCACCCGATACAGAGATGGCGGATTGGATCAAGTCGGCCTCGAATGTTCCAAAGGAGGGAGATATAGATGAATATGCGCACCTCATGTGGCCCCGGTGTCTAGGCCTCGCCTGGCTGGAGCTGCAGGTTTTTTTGAGACTTTTTCCCGCGCACGCAGTTTCCATTGCTACCATTATTATTTTTTTTGGGTAGAAGGTTCCGTGGAAATGGTGGCCGAATTCCACGGGTAAACACTCAAGTGAATTGCTATTCATCAAGGGGAATATATCAATGATCTTTCAAGAAACAAAAGAGGCAAGGAGCATTGTGCAAGGTGTGGCCTGGGTTACAGAGGAGCCCAATGTGCTAGATAGTCATAGATTCAAGTAGCTTAATAAACACACACACTCCCCACTCTGTACTTTTATTTGATAATGTTTCTTTTTTTTTTTTTTTTTTTTTTGCATCAGATTTTAATTGCGTATGCAGCTATCTAGCTATGACACAATATCAAAGAAAAGTATAGAATAGATGATTCAACGTAAAGGAAGAGCACTCATGCCTCGGATTTCATTTGCAAGTACCACTGCGAAGTTATGGCGGCTTTTTCTTCACCCCAAGTCAACCCTCATCCGTGAATACCCATCCAGGGGAACATCTCAAAAACCCTGAGTTATCCAGACATGCCTCCGTCATCCATCAACTTTTCTCCGCGCGAAATGTAATCTGAGATGTCTCCTTCTCAAGCGGAGTAGGTGCTCAGGCTACTCAAACTATACCAGAGAACATCACCAGGAGGCGGATCACAACACCTTCCATCGTCCGCTTGTTTTTATAGTGTCAGCTGCACTCTCGCAAGCGAAGTCTTGGCGCGCACAAAGCCCAATTCGAAAAACTCCTTGCCAAAATTCGGAATCTCACGCCCTTCGAGGTTATATCCTACCTCCGCATCATCTTATAAACTTGTCCTGATCCCTCTCACGTCCATCCCAAAGAATTGTCTCCCAGATTTGTGCGCCACGCTTTGCTTCCTCCGTCGGGTATAAATATCGGCGTGGGCGTGTATTTGGTGACCAGCTGAGGCCAGAGAAGGTCGAAGAGTGGTGTGGTCATTGGAATGAGTATGTACTTGGTCGTACTTGTAGACTCGATGAGACAAAGATAGGAGTCAAACTCGTTGGGAGCGAAATAACGAGGTGGAGGAGTAATTTGGATTTTTGCCTCGTGGGCCAACTTCTTTGATATTGCGAAATTTGACTGAACTTGGCTCTGGGAGAATATTTCACTCCCAGGTTCGTAGAGGACACCGCGTACAGGTGTTCAGTCTTGCCCTCCTTGATAATGTGTCGTAGCTACAGTGCCTCTGGGTTGGAAAAGGTGAAACTTCAACCGGGTTTGTTTAAGGGATTAGCCCTGTAGGCGAAGCTTGACTAGCTCGCAAGAGGTTAGACTGTCTCTCCTCCTTACCCCGCTCGCCATGAAGTATGGTCCAATCGTCTTCTTTAAACATTCAGTTAGAAAAATATATTTTCAATGACACTTTTGGCTGCTTAACCAACACAGTCCTTGAAACCAAAGGCTGAACACCTGTCAGTGGTGTCCTCTACGAACCTGGGAGTGAAATATTCTCCCAGAGCCGAGATTCAGTCCCGAAAATGGGTGGGATGAATTTTAATTGAGGGGTTTTCGACTTGAAGGAGTTGCACTCGATATTTTGGTCGAAAAATTAGTCGGCAGAGATTTCACAGCCGGATCAACGTCGAACAAAAAGTTATCACCACCAACATACGATTCACGAATGGGCCTAGGTATAACTGGGGGTCGTATTCAAACGTCCGACATCTCTTAAACTCCTTTTACACTTGCGACGAAGCATTTCTCAATCAATCCTACACCTGCGACCTATCTCCATACCCGTCCGATCACCTACCTACACACGCCCTAATGAGGAAAGTCATGATAGAAACGGAACGTGTACAAAGGGGAAAGAAGAGGGAAGACACACCGAGGGGATTACACAAATCCCCAATGACGAAAACAACCTAACGGTACGATATGAAGGTGCAAGGCTAGAGCAACGATGAGATCTTGGACGGCAATTATATTTCGGAGTCAATGAGGATGTCAAGGGCTCGGGCGCGTTGTGGCCGAGGCTGAGGAGGAAATCGCGCTACGGCGTGTATACAGCGGGTTTCTGGACGGTTAGGCTTAGTATTATTCAACACATAGGTGAAGTCTGAGGTGGTCCGGTCATTAAAGTGGGACGAGGTTTATCTGTACTTCACGGTAGTTAACCTGATCCGGCCCAACCCCACTCGTGCTTAAGCTCCAAGAAGAGTGCAACGTTAGCCATGTAACCTAGCACGTTAATGAACAAAACAAATAGTCCTTAAAACGGGTAGGGGTACGGCAGCGACGGGGCAAGGCCGGAGGGGTGGACATTCTACAAAGTTTCTTGGATGACGAGATCGGCTGAAGGACAGAGGGATGCTGTATGAAGGAACTAAAAGGGAACACAAACTGAGGAGGCCTTGGTGGGCGACTGGATGAGGATTCCAATGAAGAAAACGACCCCTGGATGAGATGAGGAGATGCTGAGATGAGCCAAAGCTAGGAATGAAGCGAAGGGAAAAATTACAGATCGCGGAGGTGTCAAGGGCTCGGGCGCGTGGTGCCCGAAGCTGAGGAGGAATTTGCGCTTCGGCGCGCCAAAAGGGGGTTCTCTGGTGTTGTGGTTATGAGCTGTGAGGTATATAGCAATTATGTCTTTGCTGTCCGTCGGTGGAGTTACACGTGCTCATGTGCAATGGTGAGTCGCGGAGATGGCGCGCTCACGCTGGGTGATGGCACGATGGACACTGAGTGCGTATCACTGTGGCCAAATGGGTGTCAGTAGGTATCAAACGTGAACTCTTACTGACGATGGTGATCTATGTAGGTGATGCTAGATTTGCATCCCGACGATTGATAATATCATCTAATGG